AATGCTAGGAATCCAATCGGGCAGGGTGAGACACTGCAGATGTTCCTCCACTTGCCTTTGGGGCTACAGATGAAGGTATTATGTCTCCTGATACCTGAAGTTTCCGGTCTCGTGTGGTCGTGATTTCTAGTACTTGGTTGTCCTAGAGGAATCTTAGTTTACTATTTTGAAGGATGGGTAAAGCCTTGCTATTTCCCCAGAGATTTCTTTCAATAACAATTCAGAACATGCATACTTCTGGCCCTGGCCACAAAGTATTCCTATGTGATACAGACTGGACCCTGGAAATGAGGAAATAATCCTGTCCCTCCAACTCCTGGGAGGAAGAAGCTTCCTGAGCTTATGCTCCAAGAGAATCATCCCAGACACCACAAAGTTGACCAGAATTTCAGCTACTGACAGGGTAGTTTGGACTGTTGCCTGAGGGGCCCACATTAAGTGCTGACAACAGTAGATCAAGATGAAAGCCATTGCTCTACAGTGGAAAAGACAGAGAGTGAGTGACCACAAAAGTTAGCAACTTATCCTGGCTTCTGAGAAAGAAGTTCACATGTAACAGCCCTCTTAGCAGGACTCATGATGGTGATGATGGTAATGATGATGATGGGATGGTTACCACTTATTGAGCACGTATTGTATGTCAGACACTATATTAAATTTTATATTAATATGTTTTATATTAATTATCTCACTTAATCAACACAGTAATCCCGAGAGGTTCTTATTATCTTCATTTTTACAGCTAAAGAAACCAAAACTCAGAATGTTTCAGTGATTTGTCTAAAGTTGCCTACCAGTTAGTAATTGGCTGAGTCTAAATTCAAATACATGCAATCTGCCCTCAGAGCCTGAACTCTTAACCTTTTTGCTATGTTGCCCATAGAATGTATCCATTCATAATATAACAAGATTGGGGCAGAGATTCAACAAGTTTTGATAGAGAAGATCCCCATGAATAAAATTGCATGCTATTCTGGAATATACTATGGCCTAGATTGGCAAGCAAGCTCTAAATATGAAAATGGGGCAGGCATGAAGGTAGGATGGGGGAAAGAGCAGGCCCAGGAATTCAACTGCCCCATGACATAGATTCAATGATGCCTCTCAAAACATGTATGCTTGGCCATGAGTAATAGATGGTAGAATCACCCAAATACATGCACTCTTTTTAGCTGCAGGAAGGGCCCAAATAATAGTCCTAGCCATGCTAGAAAATAGTTGTGGCCTCAAGTTCACATTCTTAGCCATATCCACTGAGTGGATTTTTAAAAATATTTTATTTTATTTAAATTCAATTAATTAACATACAGTTTATAATTAGTTTCAGAGGTAGAGTTCAGTGGCACATCATTTGTATATAACACCCAGTGCTCATTACATCATGTGCCCTCCTTAATGCCCATCACCCAGTTAGCCCATGCCCCCACCCACCTCTCCTCCAGCTGCCCTTAGTTTGTTTCCTATAGTTAGGAGTCTCTTATGTTTTGCCTCCCTCTCTGGTTTTGTCTTATTTTATTTTTCTCTCCCTTCCCCTATGTTCACCAGTTTTGTTTCTTAAATTCCACATATGAGTGAAATCATATAATTGTCTTTCTCAGATTGACTAATTTCAATTAGCATAATACCCTCTAGTTCCATTCATGTCATTGCAAATGGTAAGATTTCATTTTTTGATAGCTAATATTCCATTGTATATATATATATACCACCTCTTCTTTATCCATTCATCTGTCGATGGACATCTAGGTTCTTTCCATAGTTTGGCTATTGTGGACATTGCTGCCATGAACATTGGGGTGCATGTGCCCCTTCGGATCACTACGTTTGTATCTTTTGGGTAAATACCTAGTAGTGCAATTGCTGGATCATAGGGTAGCTCTATTTTTAAATTTTTGAGGAACCTCCGTACTGTTTTCCAGAGTGGCTGCACCAGCTTGCATTCCCACCAACAGTGTAAGAGAGTTCCCCTCTCTCCTCATCCTCACCAACTTTTCTTTTTTCCTGACTTAATTTTAGCCATTCTGACTGGTGTGTGGTGATATCTCATTGTGGTTTTGATTTGTATTTCCCTGATGCTAGAGTGATGTGGAACATTTTTTCATGTGTCTGTTAGCCATTTGTATGTCTTCTGGAGAAATGTCTGTTCATGTCTTGTGCCCATTTCTTGACTGGATTTTTTGTTTTTTGGGTATTGTGTGTGATAAGTTATAGATTTTGGATACTAGCCCTTTATCTGATATGTCATTTGTGACTATCTTCTCCCATTCTGTAGGTTGCTATTTAGTTTTGTTGTTTCCTTTGCTGTGCAAAAGCTTCTTATCCTGATGAAGTCCCAATAATTTGTTTTTGCTTTTGTTTCCTTTGCCTCTGGAGATGTGTCTAGCAAGAAGTTGCTGCAGCTGAGGTCGAAGAGGTTGCTGCCTATGTTCTCCTTTAGGATTTTGATGGACTCCTGTCTCAAATTTAGGTCTTTCAACCATTTGGAGTCTATTTTTGTGTGTGGTGTAAGGAAATGGTCCAGTTTCATTCTTCTGCATGTGGCTGTCCAATTTTCACAACACCATTTGTTGAAGAGACTGTCCTTTTTCCACTGGATATTCTTTCCTGCTTTGTCGAAGATTAGTTGACCATAGAGTTGAAGGTCCATTTCTGGGTTCTTTATTCTGTTCCATTGATCTATGTGTCTGTTTTTGTGCCACTGAGTACCCACTTAATGAGATTTCCCACTTCGAACACCTGAGAGAACTCATTGTGTAGAAGCCCTGGCAAAACCTTCTGAAAGTGCTCAACAAATAAGTGGCATCATCCTAAAGAGGGCTCGCACAAGACTATGGAATTCCAAGGCAAAGAAGCCAACTTGTCCCACCTTGACTCTTAGTGGCAGATCACCTTTGGTAGAATTTGGTACATTCCTTTTAATTTTTCCATGAACCCAGCATAACCACCATGCAGGGGAGGTTTTCTTGACCATGCACTTGGAAAATCCAGTGTTTTGTCCTCTCTCATCAGGCTAGAAATCCTTCAGCTTTGCTTCCATACTCTGCATCACAAATCCGGGGGGCTTATCACCATGCAACTGTTCTCATTGTGGTTAGTGTGGCTGTAGATAGAAAAAGCCATGCTATGTGATTGATAGTCTTTATTCCTCATGTTCACCCTGATATTTTCTGTAGATTCTCAAACTAACCTGGTTAGAAGTCCACAATCCACTTTACTAGTTAACCCAAAAATATTGTCACATGCCCTTTCTGTGAGCTTGTCAGGCATTTAAGCCAATTTATCTGCCTCTAAGGTACCTGGAATACTGACTAAGGAAATAGCCTTCTATAATAATAGAACTTTTCAGAAAAAGACAAGAGAGATTTTGCACTGAGACTTTGACTATACCACATGTTGATGTACCAGAGCCCATATTTCAATAAGACAGAAATAGTAGTCATAAATGCTGTTCACCAGTAATTTCTGGCTTTCCTCCTTAAGGCACATGGTAGAATTGCACTTCCCTCACCCCTTTGAAGTTAAGCATGGCCATATGGCTTACTTTGGCCAATGAAAACTGAGTAGAATTGACATAGGTCACTTCTGGGTGGAAACTTTAAGGATCAGTGAGTAATTCAGCTGTTCCTCTCCCTTGATGCAGCAATTCAGCCCTAGACTGACCTGCAATGGACACGTAGCATAAGCAAGAAATAAACCTGTATTGTTTTAAGCACTAGTTTTAGGGATTGTCACTACAGCATAGCTTAAACTATCTTGACTAATACAGACAAGTATTTTCTCTCTCAGAGATGAGGGGTTCAGGAATTTAAGGATACAGATAAGACCTTAGGATTTCAGCTTCTCTGGCTCCATTCCTCACTAAGACCTCAGATCTTTGGGTAAAAGACAAGAATGGAAAAATATGACTTTGGCAGAATTACTTAGCCTCATCATGGTGACTGTAAGTAACAACTTCCTGTTTTGAATAACCTCAGCTTCTTGGGCCAGCTCAAAATGTTATTCACAAAGCTGGACCTATAAGATGTTTGTGACTACAGGAAGGTAGGGAGTGGAAAATAGCCTTCCAGTTATCTTTGAGGGCTTTGTCTCTCCAAACCAGCCTGAATCACCCCTGGAGCATGTGGCCAATGGCCAACAATAGTGGTCCTTCCCACTTTAGCTCTTATTTTCTCCCTTTCAACTTTTCCCAATTTTCTATTCTGACTTTGTCTTTCATTTCCAGTCTTACTCTTCCACTTTGGACTCCACTTCCCTGAGTTTTTTTGACCCTTGGTATTTACTTATTGGTTCTTGCCACCCGTGGACACCACAAAATCACAGCAGCCACAGTATCTTCCATTACTGAGCACCTATTATGTTCCAGGCACTGTGCTAAGTGTTGCCTCATTTAATTTGATTCTCAAAATAGCTCCTCCCAAAAGTAGGTATTGTCAGACTTTCCATTCCATAAATGAGAAAAAAATGAGGCTCAGAGAGAATAAGTCAGCTAGTGAATGATAATTCCAGAATTCTAATTAATTGTGTCCCATGTCTACCTAAAAGCCATGGCTTACCAACTTTATAATCATTCAGCTCTAGACCTTGGAACTTAAACTATAGCAGCTACCCAACCACTGCTTAGCTTTCCAAAGGGGCCCATCTCAGCCCTCACTAAAGAATCAGATACTACAGACACTTAGGACAGTTTGAATAATCAATGTTGCCCTTAGCAACAAATTCTGGATTGACTTTTCTGGCCCTTCTGGACCAAGGAGCAATGGTAAAGCTGGATCATATTACCATTTATTCTCCAAACCTTACCCTCAAAGTCCCCCAATCTGGGAAAACCCAAGTCATCCCTGCAGCATTACCTCTGAGCCCACCCAAAATCATATGCCTGAAAGGCCGAAAATCCTATTCATGGGCTTGGGCTTGTCAAGCAGCTTCCCAAGCCATCCAGGAAATATTTAGGGGCTTGGTGAGATTATAGAGGCTCACAACCCTTCTGTCTGTTTTTCCAGGCTGTTTCTGTGATCCACACCACTGAGACAGGCTTCCCAGTAGTGACAAGAGAACTCTCCTATCACAAGAGGCCTCTGAACACTGGTATAAGGTACTTTGTCCCTTGTTCTTGTTTTCTAGAAAGCTGACTACAGCCAAGATAAATTCTATAGGATGGGAATAAAAGCTGCTTCAGATGCCTATAAGCCTTACCTCAAGGGGGCTCTGGACAATCCCTGATCACAAGGTCAAAACATCACAACCTGAAGCAACTTTCCCTCAGCCCACATCAGTGCAATTGGTCCCCTTCCTTAGAGATTTCAGTTGCAGATCACCATCTCATTGTGAGTTCCTCCTTCCTGAGACACTGTGGCCTCAAAGACATAAGAGAAGTTATGTGGCAAGATAAAGAATCATTACTCGATAGAGGTGTAAACCATCAGGATAAAGTCCATGGTTTCCCAGAATATCTTTCAAAGACTCTAAGAATAGGAGGTAAAAGGGGCCACTCCACCAGAAAACCACAGCCCATCCTATCAGGGGAGGACTTCAGACATCTCAACCATTATACAGCCCTAGTTGTGCCTCCACAGACTTCTGGTGGCCAAAGATCAGTCTTGAACCTTACGGGACATTGGTATCCATGGGAGTTTACAAATCCAGGAGGCTATTAGGGCTATTGAAGTTCCACTGAGATAACTGCAACCCTTTCTAACAGGAGATGCTTACTTCATGATCTGTGCTGAGCCTCATCTTCCTCCAGGGCCGTATTGGCCTTATGGTGGTGGTAGGTGCTCTCACCATGGTGGTATATTTTGTCTTGCTCCAAATTTTCATCTATCCCAGCCACTGCTGCCTTGTTAAGCAGGAACTTCAATTTTGTCTCACAAGTTTGGTAGTTTGACAGTTTTCAAAGCCCTTTCTGTCCACATTAGATTATTTATCACCTACCACCCACAAACCAGAATATATACCGAGTCCAACAGCAGAATCATAGAAAGGTACCTTCTGGTGTAGACATTACAACTACCATGGAGGCTCTACCTACCTCCCAACCATAAAGCCAATATCTAATAACTCCTTGTCTCTCTTCACTCAGATCATGCCCTAGCCTTCTAATTACAGGCTTCACTCTCTGCTTTCTGAAACCACAGAGTACCATCATAGCTACAGACCACCCAGAAAAACCTATCAGAAATTGTGTATGATACAACAAGAAGCTATATTAAACACCAAACATCAGCCAAGGCCTGGCTTGTAGGAGGCAACAGATCCATTCAAAAGACTAAAGAGGTGGTCCTCTATAGCACTGAATCAGATGACTTTTTGTAAAGCATCCATTGTGCAAATCCCTCAACTGTGCCTGCTACATTTTTGGAGATGGTCCTTTTAATGATGTATAGGAGTAAGATGGGGGCCAAAGAAAACCTCCCCTAGCCCCCTGAAAGGCTTATGCTTCTATGGAGGCCCTGAGTTTATAAACCTTTTTTAAAAAACAAACTGTATATCCCAATACAGCTCCCTTCTAACTCCTCTTTGTGCCATTATTGTCATTACTTTAAAAAAAAGATTTTATTTATTTATGAGAGAGAGAACAAGCAAGGAAGAGGGGCAGAGGGAGAGGGAGAAGCAGACTCCCTGCTGAGTAGGGAGTCAGACACGGGGCTTGATCCCAGAACCCTGAGACCATGACCTGAGCCGAAAGCGGACGCTTAACAACTGAACCACCCAGGCGCCCTCGTCATTACTTTTTATACACTACAATTCCATTGACACCATTTTGTTACTATTGTTTTATGCATTCACCTTTTAAATTAGGGAAAGAAAAAAGTAAAATCATATATTTTATACGGTCTTTATATTTATCTATGCAATTACCTTTACCATTGCTCTTTATTTCTTTGTATGGATCCCAGTTACCAACTACTGTCTTTTCAGTTTGAAGAAATTTCTTGTAGGTAACAGATTCTCTCATTATTTGCTTATGTGGGAATAGATTTATCTTTTATTTTTTGAAAAATAATACTGCTGAATATAGAATTATTGATCCACAGTCTTTCTTTTTTTAACTTATTTTACTTAAATTCAATTAGTTAACATATAGTGTATCATTAGTTTCAGAGGTAGAGTTCAGTAATTCATCAGTTACATATAACACCCAGTGCTCATTACATCACGTGCTCTCCTTAATGTCCATCACCCAGTTACTTCATCCCCCCCACCTCCTCTCCAGCAACCCTCCATTTGTTTCCTATAGTTAAGATGGTTTATGTTATGGTTTTGTCTCCCTCTCTCTGATTTCATCTTATTTTATTTCCCTTCCCTTCCCCTCTGATCCTGTTTTGTTTCTTAAATTCCACATATGAGTGAAACCATATGATAATTGTCTTTCTCTGATTGACTTATTTCACTCAGCATAATATCCTCTAGTTCCATCCACATCCATGTAAATGGTAAGATTTCATCCTTTTTGATGGCTGAGTAATATTCCATTGTATATATATTTTTTCTTTTTCCTTCAATCCTTTAAATATGCCATCACACTGTCTTCTGGTTTTCTTTGTTTCTGATGTAAAGTCAGGGATCATTTGTATGTGATAAGTCATTTTTCTCTTTCTGCTTTCAAGTTTTTCTCTTTGTCCTTGGCTTTCATCAATGTGATTATGATGTGCCTAGGTGTGGATCCTCCTGTATTTCTTATATTTGGAGGTCATTGATTTTCTTGGATATGTAGATTAGTATTTATCATCAAATTTGGGAAGTTTTCAGCTATTATTTATTCAACTATTTCTTTGCCCTTTCCTCTTTCTCTTCTCCCCTCCTTCAAGGATTCTCATTATGCATATGTTGGTGTATTTGATGGTGTCCCCCAGGTCCCTTAGGCTCTGTTCATATTCTTCATTCTTTTCTTTTTCTGCCTCTCAGAGTAGATAATCTCAATCAAATTATGTTCAAGCTCACTAATTCTTTTTTTGCCAGCTCAAATCTGTATTCACCTAGCAACAGAGTGTCAAAATATGGGGCCCATCAAAACGAGGATCTAACTGACATCTATGGAATATTTTATACAACAACAACATAATACACATTTTTCTCAACTTCACATGCAGCATTCACCAGATAGACCACATTATGGGCCATAAAACACACCTTAACATATTTAAACTAATAGAAATTATTCAAAGTATGGTCTCAAATCATAAAGGAATTAAACTGGCAATCAATAACAGAAAGATAGCTGGAAAAATCCCAAAATATTTAACAACATAACTCTAAAAAAGTGGTCTCAAGAGAAACTTTAAAATATGAAAATACAACTTATCAAAATTTGTGGGATATAGAAAAATTGCTCAGAAGGAAAATTTAATATTGAATGCATATATTAGGAAAAAGGGAAGATTTAAAATGAATAACTTAAGCTTATAGCTTTGGCCAATTGATTTTTGATAAGGGTGCAAAGGCAGTTCAATGAAGGAAAGATCTTTTCAACAAATTGTGCTGGAACAATTGTATATCCATTTACAATAAAAAAAAAAGAAGTAAAATAAAAAAACAAAAAACTTTAACCTAAACCTCATATCTTATAGACAACATAATTCAAAATGGAAAATAAACTTAAATGCAAAATTTTAAACTATAAAACTTAGTAAAAAACATAGGGTAAAATCTTTGTGACCCAGTGGAGGTAGAGTTCTTAAATATGACACCAAACTATGATCCATAAAGGAGAAAGTTGACAAATTATATTTCATCAAAATTGAAAGTTTTTGCCCTGCAAAAGAAACTATTAAAAGAATGAAAATACAAGCTACAGCCTTGAAAAAGTATTTGTAAACTGAATATCCAACAAAGTCATCATATCTAGAATATATAACAAACTCTCAAAACCCAACAGTAAGAAAACAACCCAATCAAAAAATCTTTAAGAGACTTCACCAAGGAGGGTATATGAAGGGCAATTAAGCTTTAAAAAGATAGTTGACATCTTTAGAGAAAAGCAAAATAAAAACATGATGAGATACCACTATACACCTATTAGAATGACTGAAAGTAAAAATATGTATACTGACAATACTAAGCACTGGCAAGGATGTAGAGATACTGGAACATACGTTGCTTAAGGGAATGCAAAATGGTACAGTTACTCTGTAAAACACTGTGGCAGTTTCTTAAAAAGTTAAACATACACTTACCATACAACACAGTGTCTTAGTCTGTTTGGGCTGTTGTAACAAAAATACGATAGACTAGATGATTTGAATAACAGGTATCTCATGATATGTATATAGTACATTATTAGTTTTTGATGTAGTGTTCAATGATTCATCAGTTGTGTATAACACCCAGTGCTCATCACATCATGTGCCCTCCTTAATGCCCATCACACAGTTACCCCACTCCCCCACCCACCTCCCTTTCCACAACCCTCAGTTTGTTTCCCAGAGTCAAGAGTCTCTCATGGTTTGTCTCCCTCTCTGATTTCTTCATATTCAGTTTTCCTTCCCTTCCCCTATGATCCTCTGCACTATTTCTTATATTCCGCATATGAGTGAAACCCTATGATAATTGTCTTTCTCTGATTGACTTATTTCAATTAGCATAATACTTTCAAGTTCTATCCATGTCAGTGCAAATGGTAAGTATTCATCCTTTCTGATGGCTGAGTAATATTCCATTGTATAAAAAATATTCCATTGTGTAAATGAACCACATCTGCTTTACCCATTCATCAGTCAATGGGCTCTGTTCTTGCTTGCATGGTTTCTGAGAAGTCAGATGTAATTCTTATCTTTGCTCATCTACAGGTAAGGCTTTTTTGCCTCCAGCTTCTTTAAAAAGATTTTTTTCTTTATCTTTGGTTTTCTGAAGTTGGAATATGATATGCTTAGGTGTAATTTTTTTTAACTTTTATTTACTTGGTGTTCTCTGAGCTTCCTGGATTTGTGGTTTGGTATCTGACATTAACTTGGGCAAATTCTTGGTCATTATGGCTTTAAACATTGCTTCTATTACTTTCTCTCTTTTTTCTCCTGATATTCTAGTTATGAGTATATTACATCTCTAGTAGCTGTCCCACAGTTCTTGGATATTCTGGGGGTTTTTTCCAGTCTT